GTTCGTTTTGTACCTCGCGGCGGTGACTCCGTCGCGTTGATTACGCAACGCGTGGCCATGAGCGCGCCCCGCGCGCGCGAGAGAGGGAGAGAATGCAGACGTGTGCGAGCGCGCGCGCGCGCGTCGCGCGCACAAAAGTCTGCCCACGGTGGTGTCATCGCAGGACTGGTCGCGCGCGCGCGCGCGCGCGATTATCGGGTATCACCGCGCGGTGTTTACGGCAACAACGGATCGCGCACGCGCCTCTCTTCTCCGATGTTATCGTCGAAATTAACGGGGATATCTCCCGGGGGGCGGAGGGGGGCAAGGAGTCCGATCGGCCGGCGATGTGAGAAGAAGAAGAAGAAAAGAGAGTCTCCATCCGGGATCGCCGCTTCGCGATCCGCGCGTTTCGTTTCCGCAACAACGCGTTGTTCCTCGCGACTTCGCGGAGCAGGTGGAGGAGAACGAGGGGGTTGCGCGGCTCGCGCTGCGGTTGGCAACCGCTGTTGCGGTCTAGGAGCGCGAGAGCGGGGAGAGAGCGCGCGCGCGCGCAAGGTTCAGCACGCGCGTGTAGGCGTGTGCACGGCTCGCGCGATGACTTGTAGGATGAAGCGGAGGCGCAAAGGCGTCTACTTTTCGCGTCTAGGATTTACGCGTGCAGCTGATATTCGGTTGTAGACTGTGTCGTGTCGTCATGCGATATAAATGATCGTGGTGTCAACGGTATTGGGAAGCCGCGGGATATATCGGAGCGGAAATATTATTAGTACCGCGTGTCTCCCTGCGCGCGCGTTACTCATTAGCGTCGTCCTCTGCTCGCCGCCGAGCGAAATGGCAACTTTGCCAGCCGGCGGCGGCGGCGGCGGCGGCGGCAGCGGCGACGGCGACCGGTGTTTTCGCATGGAAATAACGCCGTTTTTCCCTCGCGCTTTTTGCTTCCCGTTTCGATCCTCTCGTCCTTTTCTCGCTTTTTCTCTCTCTCTCACACACATACACATATGTGCGCGCGCGCGCACACATTCGCCGATCGAAGCCCGCGGAAAGTGGATTAATCGAGCGGCGGCGGCGGCGGCGGCGGTAGTGGTGGCCGTCACGCGAGATTATGCTGCGTTCTGTCTCGAGTACACTCTCTCGAGCAATAATAATGCCGATTACGGCGTGGCTTTTATTTACGCCGTTCATCCGACGCAACACGCGCACGCGCGAGCGAGCGAGCGAGCGAGCGAGCTCGTATTGATGAATTCCTCGTATCTTCGATTATGACGTTCGCGCCGTCTCGGATGAGGTAATAACGACGCGTTTAATCTCGCGCGGCGCCGCCGCTGCTGCCGCCGCCGCCGTCGTCTTCGTCGTCGAATTTGTACCTTCGAGCCGCGGGAAGGAAAAAAGTTCGGCTGTGTTCGGGCGCGAATATCGGCGATAAGTAAACACGAGAGCGAGCGAGCGAGAGCGAGAGAGAGAGAGAGAGAGAAGGGGAACTTCGGTGGTTTTTACTTGCGCACTCACACTCGGGGACGCAGTTGTGTACACTGTGTCGTAGTCATCGTTTACGTCTGGCCCGGCGAGTCCTTTTCGCGCCCGAGGCTCCTCCTCTTTCTGCCGAAAATCGAGTTATCGATAGCGCGACTGTAATATCAACCATCGCCGGAGTTCTTCGGACAGTTTGTCTCTCGGAGGAACTGGATCTATAATTTTTTTTTCTTTTCCCGATATTTTGCATCTCGTTTAGCAGCAAGTATTGTTTATTCGAACCTGATAATTGTTGTCTTTATTGAGATATTTCGGCGATATATATATTCGGCTTGTTACGAGATTATTTTGGAACGGAAAGAGAGAGAGAGAGAGAGACAGACAGACAGACAGACAGGGACGCGCTTGGTTCGAAGACGCGACGTGGAAATTGATTTATGTTAACTCTGCGAGGCTCGCGCGCGCCATTGATCGCGGCGGCTTTGTTTCTACCTCTATTTTTCCCCCGACAAAGCGCCGACGGGTTTCGAATAACGCGAAAGTCAATTTGTGACATGGCTGATCGCGATGCGCGAATTACCGGGAACACATGTGACGCGACCGCCTCGGCCGCGGTAATCGAAAATAATTTGCGCGATCGGGGGCGAGCTAACGGAAATCAATCCCCCGAGCGCGCTCGGATATGAGAAAGATTCCACACCGATGAAACATTGATTCGTTTATTTCCCGGGCGGCAATCGACGTGCCCATGCGGGGGAGCTGTTTCCCATAATCGTCGTCGATAACGGCGACTGTTTCGGCAACAAAAAAGTCGCGAGCCACCAAGGTCCTTCGACCCTTATCGGGCGGCGGTTATACAGTCGGTGGCGATGAGATAAACGCCGCGCAGCAGTTCGCCGCGCTTTCAGTTCGACGAATTTCAAAACACACGCGCCGGTATTCGATAGAAAACAAATTTATCTCCTGCGGATTACGGCAACGCAAATTCTCCTTTCGGCTATGTTGCGAAATTCCTCGAAAAGTCGCGGTGTCGTAACCTTTCCGCCACTCACCGCCTATTAACCTCCAATAAAAACCTTAATACCTACCGGATAAAAAGTCGTCGCCAGTCATTTTCTCATCGCTCCCATCCCGAGTGGAACTTTCGTCCACAGTCTCGTGGACGCTGTTGTCTGCTCGTCGTTTTGTCAAACTCGACACACACCGTCCCATATGGTCCAAACGATAGGGGACCGAGCGGAAAGATTAGAAAGATCGGCCAGTTCCGACGTAGGGAGAGAGAGAGAGAGAGAGAGAGGGGGGGGTAGAGAGAGAGAGGGGTAGAGAGAGAGAGAGAGAGAGAGAGAGAGAGAGAGAGAGAGAGAGAGAGAGAGAGAGAGAGAGAGAGAGAAAGTACACGCGTATTGAGACCTTGCTGATGGACTTGGCGCGGCACAGTCAGTGTCAGGAAAAACAAGTCGCGAGGAGACGTGTCGCAATCTTCCCTCCGCTGATTAGACAGTCAATGGCAGAAAGATCGCGACACCGTTACCCTGATATGCCGCGCGTCCGGTGTCCACTCGATGGGGATAAATTTATCCTCCGACGGTCGTTCCAGCAGGCAAATTCTCCCGCCCCGGAATACGGACGTGTCGCAAAATTCATTACGGCAGAAAAAGTGGTGCACCCTCCCCCTCCCTCCCGCCACACCCACACACATACACACACAAACAAACCGCATCGATTCAGCGCGGTTTTCGAGTCGCATATCCTGTGGCATCATCTCTCTTTCACATTCAGCTGTTCGGCTCGAAATGTGCGCACGGTGCGCGCACCACAGAATCGCGCGCTTTTGCACGCTGCTACGCGATCGTCTCGTTACGCGTTCGCCCGCGTAATCCGATCGCGCCGCGGGCGTTTTCCGCTTTCGCGGGCTAATTGATACTCTCCGCGGCTCGCTCGGCCGTCTCGGATGCCGTAATATAATTCGACGTTCCCGCGAGAGAGTGTGCCGATCCCGATCGTTAAAGGTCAATCTCTCGTTCTCTCTCTCCTCTCTTTCCTCTCTCTCTCTCCCCCCCCCCTCTCTCTCTCTCTCTCTCTCTCTCCTCTCTGTCTCACCGCCGCGCCATGGTGTTGTCGGACTGCCATTCACCGTGAAAACCATACGTACGCTCGCGCTCTGGTCACCGACAAGGTCGCGCAAGGTCGCGCAACCAAGCTGCTGCATCCACGCGCCATATATGCAACGGTGTATGTGAGAGAGAAAGAGAGAGAGAGAGAGAGAGCGTGTATGTATGTGTGAGAGATGCAGGTGGACGACGATATCGTCGCGCGATGCTCGCCCATGCTCGGCAGACGAGCGTCTAGCTCGTCACCATCAACGAATTAATTCGGCGATCAATCGACGTCTGTCTTTCGGCCGTTGCGGGGATTGTTCCTTTCTCTCTCTCTTCCTCTCTCTCTCTCTCTCTCTCTCTCTCTCTCTCTCTCTCTCTCTCTCTTTCTCTCTCTCTTTCTCCCCTTCTCCCCCTCTCCCTCTTTTGACGTTAAGCTCTTTGGTGTGTGTGTGTTACACTCGCATTTCACCGACCAGATCTCGCCGCTTTGTTATCGCGCGCGCTCTTCGCACATGCAACCCTCGCGCACGACTCACACATACACACACGCACACGCACGTACGCACCACCGTGATTTGCGCGCGAAAGCAGTAGCTCCCGGCTATCGATCCGAATGCGTAGAAAATGCTATTGATTCCCTCGGCCGACCCGACGACCTCTTCTCTCCATGGCGACGATCCGAGAGCAGAGGCTGGCGGATGTTGAGCTCTCTCTCTCTCTTTCTCTCTCTCTCTCTCTCTCTCTCTCTCTCTCTCTCTCTCTCTCTCTGTCTCTCTGTCTGTCTGTTTCTCTTATCCTCCTTCAATCCTCTCCCGATCGCGATCTCTTCCGTTCCACCGTGTTGTAATACATAATAGATATATATGTTGAAAAGCAAAAGCGTAGGAAAGAGCGATATCAATTAACGAAGATCGTGAGCGGGGGAGAGTGGGGAGGAGAAGGCCTCGTTTAATTTTAACGACGTAAATAGACGAAAGCGTCTTTTTCTTCTTTGCATTAATTTCGATCGATCGTTCTCTCGTGGTCTCCTCATCTCCGCAGAAACGAAACGTGTCGCGCTTACGTGACCGTGTCTGGCAGGGGGTGAGAGGAGGAGAATTGCATAAAAGGCAGACACGAGTCAAGCTAGTCGCCTATTCGCTGCCTGCCTACGTCCTCCAGGGTCGTACACCCACGTCCAATCCTCTGTCGCGTCCCCCTCTTCTCCTCAGAGTCGTCTTTGTAGTTTCGAGAGACTAGATATGCTACGAACGGAGAGAAAATCTCTCTCTCTCTCTCTCTCTTTCTCTCTCTCTCTCTCTCTCTCTCTCATCGTACGAAATTTCAAGTTTCGATACTTTACGTGGAAGAGTTTGCTTTACGCGACAAAGGATCATCGAGACGACAATTCAGTTAGACATTTGTTGATGCGCTACTATAATCGCAATTTTCTCTCTTTTTCTGCATCAGGTCACGAATAAGACGGACACGATAATCCGCGGCCGATGAGGAGCACAGCACGAGGACGAGTAGTAGAAGAAGAAGAAGGAGCAGCGGCAGCAGCAGCACGAGCAAACACGAGCAGCTTCGTTGTCGAGGCAGAAGGTGGCGGCGTGGAAAAGCAAAAGGGACGACGAGGACGACGAAGTGGCGGCGGCAGTGGCAACGGCGGGTACGCGACCAACAGCCAGGTCCCATGTTAGCGGACATCAACGGCAATCTGGCGGATCTGAGAAGCGAAGCGATGGCGTCGCAGAGGTTCTGTCTGCGCTGGAACAACCACCAGAGCAACCTGCTCTCCGTCTTCGACCAACTGCTGCACGACGAGTCGTTCGTCGACGTTACGTTGGCTGTGGAGGGTCAGCTACTCAGGGCGCATAAGATGGTGCTGTCGGCGTGTAGCCCTTACTTTCAGGTGAGCTCGCTTGCCGCTTGCTGCGCCTTGGGCGCTCGTGCAATTTCTTAATTCCGCCGTTTAATGGCGTCGTGATATATACGCGCAACGCGATATTCTTCGCACGATAATAGGTAGAGTAGAAATGAAAAATGAATAAATTAACTCGTTAAATTTTATAAAGATAAGATCCTGGAATAATAGAGCAAATTCTACGATAGATGATAATCTAAAGAGAAGGCTGTTTTCTCGGTACTGTCGGACAAATTTTGCCGCTTCCAGATAAATAAATGAGCCGAACCTCTGTCATGACTAACGCGAGCGGTGAAATTGCTTTTCCCGCACAGGCACTGTTCATCGGTCACCCCGACAAGCATCCTATAGTCATTCTGAAGGATGTGCCGTACGTGGACATGCGCAGCCTGCTGGACTTTATGTATCGTGGCGAAGTAAGCGTCGACCAGGACCGGCTGACCGCGTTCCTACGGGTCGCCGAGTCCCTGAGGATAAAGGGTCTGACGGAGGTGAACGAGGACAAGTGCGACCTGCCGAGCATCACGTCGTCGCTGTTGGGCGGTGCTCAGAACACGGTGCCACCGCCGCCACCCAGCCTCCACCGGATCAACCAGATCGGTCCGCATCACCATCATGTTTCACAGAAGAGGTTCCACCACATGTCCAGCCACCCGCTGCTGGGTTCGGCATTGACCGCGCCTAAGAGAAAGCGTGGCAGGCCGAGGAAGCTGAGCGGTTCGTCGGACACGCCGATCGGCGAGGCCGCTGGCCAGGATCTGCAGTCGTGCTCGGGCGCCGATCTTGTCCAGGGCTCGCCGGAGATGATGGAGATGAAGATGGGCCTGGATTTCCAGAGCGAAGCGAGCGGTAACGGCGCGAGGAGCGGCGGCCAGGCCGCGGGTGGTTCCTCCGCTTCGAACAGCGTGACGGGCTTCGCGACCGCCAACAATCCCGCCGCCACGGCGTCCTCGGGCTCGTCGGGGAGGAAAGACGAACCCACGGAGAATGGCACTGACACCCCGGAGCCGCCGTTGACGCGGGTCAAGCGAGAACCGGAACCGACGCCCAGTACCTCGGCGCAAGGTAAGAGGAGACAGTGTATGCAAGAGGGATTGAGTGAGCGAGAACGAGAGAGAGAGAGAGAGAGAGAGAGAGAGAGAGAGAGAGAGAGAGAGAGAGAGAGAGAGAGAGAGAGAGAGAGAGAGAGGCAGAGCGAATGAATGTCATTGGTATTTGAAATACTGCGAACCGTATGCTGACGTGCGTCAATGTTGATTTTAGCCTCGGATGAGACATTCGCGCGACCGCACAGTAGACAAGGGAGTGAGGGTTTCAAGCAAGGTAAGATCTTCATCTTTACTCGACACTGCGATAGACACGGAGGAAGAGCGTTGACGACGCGCGTCTCGCCAATCCCACACAGCGCGCGACAAATGTCTAACGAACCTTCCGCGCGAATCGAACAATGTCCAACGTCGGTGATGTCTGCGCGCGCTTTCGCAAACTACACTTGCTCACGAAGGAATCGATCACGCGATTGTCGCGCGCGTATCGCAAACGGTTCAATCGATCGAGACACCAACTTCGCTGTTCTCTTGTTGCGATCAAGCAGATATCAAGCATATATCTTCAAGTATTTCCCACGAGACACGCCTTTTGGCCAGAACTCGCCCGGAACGGGCTCGACTCTCCGCGACACGTATCTAACCCACCCCTTGCAGCATTGCGCAGAGAGTAATTCCTACTCCATATTATCGACGATGCACCTTTCTCGTTTTAACGGTCGACTTTGAAGAATGCCTCGCTAAAGACCGTAGCGTACAAGGTAAGTCGCCGGGAGCGTCGGAGAGCGAGGCAAGAAGCGACGCGCGCTCTCGAGCTGACTGAAAACGAAGACTTGCAGAGTCGTGCGAGGCACACCTTTCGCGGACGCGATGATAACCGTCGCGACGACGACGATTCTCTCGCGCGCGGACATTCGCGCGTCCAGGTAGCTGCGAGAACTATTGGACGTGTCTCTCTTAGCATGGTGTGAGAATTGTGGTTCCCATAAGCGCGGGCGCGGAGAAGAATGCTGCGGGCTCCCTACAAACGGTGGAAACTGTAGACTCTCTCATATCTTTGTTGCAATTATTATTATTATTATTATTCCTCGCGTTGAGCCTATTCTGACGCGCGATATTCGGAATAACAATAGCTTTCTCTCTCCTTCTCTCTCTCCTTCTCTCTCTCTCTCTCTCTCTCTCTCTCTCTCTCTCTCTCTCTCTCTCTCTCTCTCTCTCTCTCTCTCTCTGTCTCTCGCCCTTCGTCTCCTCAGCCGGCCTTTGATCGCGCAAGAAGCGCGCGCGCGCGTGGTGTATCGCAGGATCCAACGGGCGAAATCTCCTTAACGACGCAGCATTTGTTACACCGGCCGAGACGCCGAGCATCATTCTTCTCCGCGCGAACCCGAGGACGGGGAAAGAACATACGCTTTTGTGCCGTCCGAACGCTTTAATATTCGCCTTCTGTGAACGCGCCCCGAGGAGCAAGCAAGCAAGCAAGCGAGCGAGCGAGCGAGCAAGCAAACGAACCTCGCGCGCCGGGATTGTTGATAGACGACGCTGTAGACTCTCTACGTGAGAACGACTATCTCGCACGATTCGTCGAGGTCGATCGACGACGTCTGAGAATCGGGAAAATCGGCAAAATCACACTCCGGTGCTGGCCCAATCGCGATTCTCGACGTGACGTAAGGCCGCACGCACACCGGGACATTATATTATCATCATTTATATGTTATATATATATATATATATATGTATAGATATATATACATCTCTAAAATCGACACACTTCGCGAGGTCCACTTCGCGACGACGACGACGCGATTTCACGCGATTAAATCCGACGTTGATCCGACGTGCGCGTCGTCGTGGACGTCGACAAACGTTTCCTTCTTCTTTTCTTTTTCTTTTTTTTTTTTAACCCGATGTGCTAATGAGTTTGACTTTTCAGAATTATCTCGAGCTGTCGAGCCGTCGAGGCTCGTCGGTCGTGTTGTCGCCTACCCTGCGGGCGCGCTCCTATCTACGATTTTTTTTTCTAGGAGCACAGCCAGGACTCGCGACAGCGACGAAATGTCGAACTCGCGAAATCGCGCGCGCGCGCGCGACGTTCGCGAAAAACCCCGCGTCTCTCGGGCCTGTATCACACGATTTCCTCGCGAACATTCTCGAAACGAAACGCACACGAAAGTAAAACAGAGAGTAAAAACCAAACAAACAAAAAAAAAGACAATATTCCGACGCGAGAGGAAATCCGCGTCTCCGGAGCTTGCGTCTCCGAGGAAAAGGAAAAAAAAATACGAGGAAAAAAAATGACAATCAAAGGCGACTCGTCGAGTCGAGGTAAAACGATAAAAAAAAAAAGACAAATTTCCCTTCCTGAGCGCAAGCGGTGCTCGGATCGCGAGAGGGAAAGACAGAGATGTAGAAAGAGAGAGGGAAAGAATCGAGACGCAAAGTATTAAAAGGATACAACGAACGAAGACACAAACACACACATACACTCAGACACTCGGACATACACATACACGTGCACACAGGTATACGTAAAAAAGGAGTATAGGATGTGTTGGTAGAGAGCAAGGAAGAAAGCCGTCGTCTCGTTAACGTTAAAGAGTTGGCGCGTTCACACTCGGAGTCCAGATCCGAAGAGATCACGGTCCGTGACGAGAATTCCGAAAAACCGGGGGCGGGAGGGGGGATTTCCCTGTCTCGCGTGAGCAATGCGATTCTGCTGCGATTCAGTCGCCGAGATTGTACCCTAAAAGGAATATATATATATATATATATACACACATACCACACATATACGTATATATATATATATATATCTCGCGCGCTAATAGCCGCCGGTTTTGTTCTCGTCGAGGACGTGCATAATAGATACATCTAGATACATACATACGTAATAACCCATACGTAATCACGCTCGGCCAATGCGCAGCGCTTCGTTCCTACCTCCTCCTTCACCTTCTCCTCTCAGCACAAACACGCGCACAAACAAATACACAGGTGCATATATATATTATATATATTATATATATATATATAATATACAGATATATATCTACAAACACATACATACCTATATAGATACACGCACACACATACACACACACACATACACATGTATACGCACACAGCCATACGAAGCGGCCACCTTCGTCATCTCTTGCCTCTTCATGATCAACTTCTGCGTCTTCTTTCTGTCGCACCGCACCTGTCGCTCTGTTGTTCGATGTCTGTCGGACCTGGTCTAAATTTCCCCTAATCCACACTCATACATACACACACACACACACACACACACAGACACAGGCACGTAGATACACCATACACAGAAGAGAGACACACACGCAGATACATCACACATCGTGTTACAAGGAAAGAAAAACACCGTTTACTCTCTTCTCCGCACGAATGAGAAAAGCTTCGCTGCCATTGGCCAAAGGTAACAGGAGGGGGTGGAGCCAGCTTTTAGCGGTGCTTACTTACTTTTTTTTGTTGTCTGATTTTTCACACCTCGAACGCTGGTTAACTTCTTTTTCACGCTCGTTCGTTGCGAGGAGGATACAATAGAGAAGTTTCATTTTCTTCTTTTTATTGCGGAAAGACAGACAGCAAAGCGAGAGAGAAAGAGAGACTTGAAAAAAAATACGCGTCGTTGGTGACGATATTGATGACGATAATGACGGGAAGGTGGTGGTTGGAGGAGGAGGGGGATAAAGAGGAAGAAGAAGTATACTTAACCAACGGACGACGCGTGTGTCGGCAGGTTTTGTCACTTCCGCCTTCTCTTGCGTTCTTCTCGTTTGCCTCTTTAGATAATAACGACGACAGTGAAAGAAAGAAGAGACTGATAGCAAAGGGAGATATTAATTAAAAAGAAAAAAATAAATAAAGAGAATCCGTTGAAAAATCACGATAAATTAGTGTGTAAAGATCTGAAATGAAGAAGAGAGGAGCAGAGAGAGAGAGAGAGAGAGAGAGAGAGAGAAAGAGAGAGAGAGACCACGAAAGAGATCGGAAGAGAGAGAAAAAGAGAGGAGAAGTATATAGTGTGACGTACGTTTCTTTTTTTCCGTATTTTTGTAAAAAAAATACCATGTGTACGTGCGCGCGCGCGAGACGGGGGGAGGGGAAAGGGAGTGCTCGAAGATGTTGCCGTCGGTGACGATCTCGTTTCTCGGTAGTGACCGTGTGATCGCTTTGTTCACTTTTGGCGCAGGTGAGTTGAGATTATCACCATCATTCGATCTGTTGAGAGATTTCTTAAGCTTTTACGCGGGGGAAGCGAGGGTGAGCTAGGGAGGCCAGCCGCTAGAACGAAAAATTGTATGTAAAAAAAAAACGATATAACGAAAAATGTCGAAGTAAACCGCAACTGTTGACGAATAGTCGAACGAAAAGAAACAAACCAAAAAAAAATGAACAAAACCAATAATCGAAAACGAAACAATATAGACGTTCCGAGAGAGAGTGCCGGAGTGTAAGAGAGAGAGAAAGCCGGATTGTAGAAAAGGATGTGACACGCCCCGGAGGCCGAGAACGGATATGACCAGTTGTGTTTAAATAATAAAATAGATAGTAATCACATTATAAATCGAACCAAATTATATATATATATGTGTATATATATACATACATACATATACATGTGCATATATACATCTGCGTATACGTTAGAGTAAACCGAAAAAAAAAGAAAAAAAAAGAAAAGTACAAAGTAAAATAAAAACGCACACGAAGAAGAGAAAACGTTGCTTTTTTTCTCGAGCGTCCTCGATCTCGATGGATCGTCTTCCCGTAGAGATGGATACAAGCTGACTGTGACTGGACGCTACTTGGACCGAAAAAAAAGGGGGTTGGCGAGTGTGTACATGTGTCGCTCTGGTAGTGTGTTTAATCGATTATTCACGTACTTTACATGCGTGCTGGTGTACACCTGTGACATGCGTGTACGGGCTACTCGGGGAAGTTACGGTCCTTCCTGTCGATCACGGATCTCGCGGACGGCGAGTCCGCTGAATTAGGCCGCCGATCGCACGCGTCGCGGAATCGAAAGGAGCTCTCGACGATCGCTCGCCCGCTCGAACCACGTCGTCGAACCACGGGCTCCGTCCTCGGAAGCGATCGATCTCGCGTCCTCGCTCCGGCGGATCGCTCGTGACTCGCACGACTGTCCGGCAGCCGGACGTTCGAGCAAGAAACGCGACGACGTCGAATTGCTTTCTTCGAAATCCGTGATCGAGCGGAAGCACCGTATCGCGCGACAATCTGTACGTATGGTTTTCCATGGGCTTGTATACGTGTGATCGTGGGAACGCAAGTGCGTGTGAGATGTTTGTGATTGAATGGGAAGATGCGTGCGTGCGTGTGTGTGTGTGTGTGTGTTTTGTGTGCGTGCGTGTGCGTGTGTGTGTGTGTGTGTGTGTGTGTGTATGTGTGTGTGTGTGTGTGCGCGCGCGCGCGCGCGCGCGCGTGAGAGTGAGAGCGAGAGAGAGAGAGAGAGAGAGAGAGAGAGAGAGAGAGAGAGAGAGAGACTTGATGATGTGTGAAAGTGCAAGAGTCTGAGATACACACGAGGGAGTGGACGACGACGGGGCGGCGGGGGCGGGGACGTGGAGAGGTCGTGTTCGCAGCGTGTTAAAAAAGTACGATATATATGTATTATATATAAATATGCATTCTTGACGCGCGGGGACACAGAGTTTGACTGAGAGACGGCCGATTCGAACACGGTAACTCTTTTTTGCTGGCTCTACCCTTCCTCTTGCTTCCCCCCACAAATATGTAGAAATAAATATTATATATATATACGTTGTGCCGATACAGTATCATATACAGAGATACGTACTCCACGGTGTGCGGTAGAACTCCGTTTATCAGAACACCCCGCGGGAAAAGAGAGAGAGAGAGAGAGAGAGAGAGGGAGGGAGACAGACAGAGAGAGAGAGAGAGAGAGAGAGAGAGAGAGAGAGGGAGAGAGAGACAGAGAGAGAGAGAGAGAGAGACAGAGAGAAAATGAGAGGAGAGACAGAGAGACAGAGAGAAAATGAGAGGAGAGACAGAGAAAGAGAGAGAGAGAGAGAGAGAGAGAGAGAGAGAAAGAGCGAGAATAGAAAAAAGACAGTTGACGCAGCGGAAAGTCGAAAACAGCAAACATGTTCCGAGCTCGAATTAGTGAACATGTGCGTGTGTGTGTGTGTAGAGACAATTTTGGCGAGAAGTTTGATCTGCACAATTGAAGGATAACTCGAAGCACCTGATCTGTCCGCACGATGAAGATCCATTTTTATTAGCAAGAGCGACGAAGCTATTGTACCGACAACGTGTAACGGAGAATCTCGAGATAACGCACAGTGTAGAAAATGTCCGCTGGATCAGTATCGTTCATCTGTTCGGCGACAGACCGCCGCTTTAGAGACTCGAACCAAAAAAAAAAAAATAAAAAAAGAAAAGCAAAACGTGTGGCAAGAATTTCAGCCTGGTTTCTTCTGATAAACGGACCGCTACCGCGCATCCAGTGCTTGTACGACATACATTATATATTCATATCGTGGGCATGAAGAGCGATTTAAAGGACCGAGATTTCTTCGTTTCAGAACTGGAGGAGACGTCGAGTGGCGGTGGCGGCGGCAACGGCGGCAGCGGCGGCAGCGGTGGCGGCGGCGGCGATTGTGAGCCGCCGACTCACATACGCATCAACTTCGAGCGATGCTTTCGCAAGGAGTTCAGCACGTCGACGTTGCAGAGTAAGACCGCGGCCGTCGCCATGTTCGACGATCAGCAACAGCAGCAGCAGGTGCACTCGGACTCCGAGACCGATGCGAAGATGTCGAAGGAGAGCATAAGCAGTGCCATATTTAATCTGGTGGCCGGCGAGGCGGAGATCAGTCAGAGCGACTTCGAGGGCTCGTTCAAGGCGGAGAACGAGCGCACGGAGGGCTCGGTGCGGGACTTCTGCGTGAAGGAGGGCGACGTTTTCCGGTGCACTGTGTGCCATCGCACGTATACCCACATCAGCAACTTCTGCCGGCACTACGTCACCTCGCACAAGCCTAACGTCAAGTACTACGCCTGCCCGGTCTGCTCCAAGGAGTTCACCAGGAAGGACAACATGGTCGCCCACGTGAAGATCATACACAGCTACAAGCCGCCCATGAGTCTCAGCAACAGCAGCGGCAGCGGCAGCATGGGCCAACAGCCGCGGTAGACCGCCGCGTCCTCTCGTTCCGCCTCCTCCTCTGCCTCCGGCGACGGGTCGCCGCGTCGTCTCGCGGATCCCGCGGAGACGCGCGGGATCCGCGACACATAACACTACCGAAAGCTCCTTGGCGCCGTGCTACTGCGCTCCGTCGTATTCTCACGTTCGCGGTATCGGGGATCTGTGACGCGACGCTAGCGGCAGCGGCGGCGGCGGTGCTCTGTGGTTCTCATTGAGACACTCGCTGATGCCAAGCTCTCTTGTGTTACCGAGGGTAGCTTCGATACCAGTGATTAGCGATAGATTAGAATCTTAATAATGAGAGAGAGAGAGAGAAAGATATATATACATATATATATATATCGTAGAGTCCGCGCGGTGTGTCACAGATCGCACGGTACCGAGACACGGGGTGTTACAACGGCCAGAACGGCCGGCTGCGTTTTTTCCGCGGGGGTGGTTCATTATCGACCGAGTTTCAAGTTGTTGCACTTAGACGGGACCAAGGAACGGTGTCGACGTGGGTAGAGGAGGCGGAGAAGGAGCTCGAGAAGAACGCAGGAGATGGAAAGACAAAGAGAGAGAGAGGGAGAGAGAAAGAGAGAGAGAGAGGAGGGGGAAAGGAGAGACAAAGAAAGAGATAGAGTAAGAGAAGAAGAAGAAGAAGCGCCTCGTAACGAAGTCAGTGCGCTCCTGCGAGCGTGTAAGAAGCGAGGAGAGACAAGAGTGGAGTAGATAGATAGATATGTATAAGCGGTAGATAGATAGGCAAGCGGCTGATCTTATGGAAACGCCTGGATAAGGAGATCGGGGAGGGTGATTTAGAGGGAGGGTGGGATGTGCAAGATTCAAAGCTATGAACGTCATCGCCGGAGCGCGCGATTCTTTTTTTTTCCTTTTCTTTTTTCCTTCCGGAGCGTTCTCGAGCCGTTACCCGCGAACTTTCGGCGCGCGTCAAGCGAGAACGACCGTTAACCCTTCGAGCGCTGAGCCAACATTGAGCTTATAGAGCGGACGTGTTTTATAAGATACGACACTCGTTTCACGTCCTACACTATTTTAGCTAACGTGGCGCGGACGCTGTGTTACACACACACACACACACACACACACGCGCGCGCGCGCGCGCGCGGCCCCAGTTGCGATCCTCTTAGATTTTTTAAGGAACTCTATGAAGGAGGAAGAGCAAGAGAGAGAGAGAGAGAGAGAGAGAGAGAGAGAGAGAGAGAGAGAGAGAGAGAGAGAGAGAGAGAGAGAGAGAGAGAGAGAGGAAGACGATATATACCGTCGCTCTCGAGGGGTTAACGTTTACAAGAGCCACTATGTCGACGTTGCACGATTCGCGAGCGCGAGGTGTGGGTCTGACCAAGTCCAGTGCGCACCAATACGATGAACTCTCAAAGCAGCTACTAAAGTAATTCCACTGTACGATATTTAAATTTTAATAGGGTATTAGGCCAATGCGAGGACACCGTTGCGCGATACTTTACAACAACGGCGTTCATTGGCACCCACTTTGACGGGCAGCTTTCTCTAGAATCCGCGGCGATCTGCCCCCCTCGATCAACCCCTGCTTCTGGTCCTGGTCCTGATCCTGGTCCTAGTGCTAGTTGTAGTTATCTTTATCGATCTCCGTGCCTTCGAGGACCCGCGACGCGTGCGCGCGCGCGCGCGTGCACGCCCGCCCGCCTCTGACGCCGCATCGCGCAACGTCTGTGTTCTTCTTCGCGTTCCGGAGGATCGCGCGAACAGACGTCGAAAGCTCGCTGGGAAACGGCTCGTGCGCGCAAAGTAACAAGCGCGAGGAGCAACGGGCATTAAAAGTTACAAAACGAACGAGCTTTACCGCGCTCTCGCCGCCGCCGCTCTCGGCCCTCCCGCTGAGGAGAAGACGAGAGGACGAGAGTCGGCTCGTGGCTGTTGTAATAACGGAGGACACAAGAGGCTTTATAAAAAAAAAAAGACGGTAGAAGTTTATACAATATGCAATCGATGCGCTCTCGTTGCATTATTTTCTCAGAAGGTGGTTCTGCGTTGTCGAAGAGTCGTCGAAACGGCGCTCAGCAACGAGAAGAGGCAGAGCGAGAGAAAGAAGGGGGGGGGCAAGGTGACATGTGAATTCAAATGAACGTAAAGAAAACGGAAGAAGGAGGAGAGAGAGAGAGAGAGAGAGAGAGAAAGATAGAAAGAAAGAATATATTTACTACCGCCTGATTATATTACGTTGCAGAGAGAATCAAACACGCCGGCTGATGCAGCGCGGCAAATACATTTCTACGCGACGCGCGCGGACGCGCACGTGCGTTTCAGTCTCACCGGCCAAACCTCTGACCTCCAGCACGCTCTTCGGGTATTACCCGAGGACCAGACCTTCGAGCGGCGATCTGACGTGCAGCGGTTTCCGCCATTCGCACATACACTACGCGTACACAGGGTACTCGATAACGGGATCAATCGCGGTGATCGCGCCGTCATCGTCGCATGCAGCAATAATAAGGCAACTATGTCGTGTCGAAGTGGAAGCTGAAGCTTCCAGGGGGCGGGAGGGCAACTTGTTGATTACATATAGTGTCTTATGTATTCGTCGAGTCGGCGAGAGAAAGAGACGGAGTAGTTTCATTATTCAGATCTTCATATCAAAGAGGACTGGGAGCGAACGAAGAGGGTGCGGAGAGGAAGAGGTGAATGAGGACGAAACGCACGCACACACACACACACACGCACGCACGTACACACACACACACACACACATACACATGCGCGAACGCGTGCACGCGTGGTATAAGTAATAAGGGAACTACGTAGACTGAGTAAATGCAATATGTATATGTATCGATGACCGTTCGCCATGTTGTTGTTGAGCCGTTGTGTCGCGAAAAAGTTTGATGTTGAGAGAGATGCTGATGATGATGATGATGATGATGATGGTGGTGGTGATAGTGGATGATGGGGACGAAAGACAGAGAGCGAGAGGGCAGGGACGGAACGGGACGCGTAATCTCGCGAAAGACTGCACAGGGACGGTTTTAACGACACCAAATACAAGATAGTACTGACATTGGATAGACTGAAGGCACCTTAGTAGTAACTTAACGTCGCCGCCATTCGTCGCGCCGCGCGTCTTACCGTCCGATCGGCCGAGTCACTTCCGGCGAACGGATCGAGGGGAGCGGCGGAGGTAGCTCGACGACTTACTGCCCTCACTGGGATCCTCCCTCCTCCCCGCCTCCTACCGCCTCTCACGACAGAAGAGTTTTGACATTGTTCTTGACGCTTTTCATCCTGATCCTCAAATAGCGCAATGGTAGTTCCTCACGTTCATATCTCCGTGGCAGCTTCGTCTCTAGCTCACCTCCAGAGACTCGGCGAGTCGTCGAGCTGCAGCGACCCGGCCGCGCCCTCTATCGCGAAAGCCCCGAACAATCGACGCGCGAGCACCGGGAAAAATATAACTCTATTCTCACAGACTCTCGACACTTCAGTCTTCGCAGTCTGCGATTTTTATCACCTTGACAATCGGACCAGAATTTTAGCGATAGTTTTAGCGAAAAAGAAGAAAAAAGAAGAAGAGGGAGGAAAATTGGACGAGGAACTCGTAGCCGAGGAGGAGGCGAAATCACCCGCGAGAGTGACGTTCTACGCGACTGAGAAACGGGCCGCGCGGTCGCGGTAATGGCGGTTAGAGGCTTAGTCGCACGCGGGAGAGACAGACAGACAGAAAAGAAAGAGAGAGAGAGAGAGAGAGAGAAGAGCACTAAAATACGATCGTAGCTTACTATATTTTGCACCTTACACTCCGTCGGGCGCCCTCCCTCCGACGTAGAGAGAGGCGTAGACGATTTATATACAAATTTTTCACTAGCTGGGCATAGACGTTAGACGACTAGAGGCTACATAATAACTATAACAATTATTATGATTATTATTATTATTACTATTATTATTATTATTATTACTACTACTATTACTACTACTACTACTACTACTACTACTACTACTACTACCGCTACTATTAATTAGTTATCGCGAGTAACGGAGACCTTCGTTGTTACTTTAATATACGTGCGCGCGCGCGGCGAGGACGTCCCCGCCCTCGCGTGATCAACCAGTGTTGTTCGTTCGTTATTCAAAAGAAAGAGGTATCTAGTGTTGCAAAGATAACAAAAGTTATAGTCCGTAAGGCGCGGATCGTCGTCGCGAGCAACGTGTCGGCCCGACGTCGGCGGGACGAGCCGTCCGGAGCTAGCGCTCTCGTCGAAGGAGCTCCTTCTGGCTCGTGCGAAGGCGTCTCGACTTGACAGCGCTTTTCTCTGAAGCGGAAAAAGGAAGAAAAAGAAAAAGAAAGTGAAAGATCGAAGTGGCCGTTCGCATGATCGCAACGGTTGTGCATTTCGCACCCCCGCGAGATTGAAGTATCTTTCCATCGTTAAGTCGCGGAGGTCGCCTTCGCACAGCGAACGGAGTGCGTCCTCGGAATACCGGAGTTACCGAGAGCGCTCGCTTCGCGTTCGTCTTCGACGCGGAGCCCGAGAGGAAGAAAAATCGCGCGGCCGCGATCCCGAGCATACTTTTAGGCGAATAGAGAGCTCTATAATACTAGTTAGGCAGGCAGCAAAGATAGCAAAGTAGACGTGTAGGAGATGAGGCTGAGCAAAAGGAAACCGTGAGGGGGCTGGGAGAGGGGAGGGAGGGGGCGATTGTCTCGAGGACGAACGAATTGTCGTGGCGACATGGGGGGGAGGATTTGAGGACGGGGAGAGGTGGGCCGTGCCGTGCTGTGCCGTGGATTTTTTCGCGCACTCAGGTCAATTAATCCGCAATATTATTCGAAACGTCGATGGACCAAAGAGCTTTTTCTTACCGACCCTCGTAGGATTACTCATTACGCTGTGTGCGAGGACAGACGAGTGTCCCGGAGAAAAAATTCGCGCGAGTCTCAAGTGTCCCAGGATGTGCACGACGATGACATGGTGCCATGTGCGCCCGCGAGACATTGTTCTCGCGCGGTTGTTAATAATTAGAAATCACGTGGGGTTCTACGCTGGAAATATTATACGTACGCTTAGGTCGTCGGGGACGCGAGAGTCTTCGTGAGAGAGAGAAAGAGAGAGAGAGAGAGAGAGAGAGAGACACACCATCGAGAGCACTCCTGGGATTTCGGGCGGTCACGCGCACTCAGGTCAATTATTATCCGCGATATTCGAAACTTCGATGGACCAAAGAGCATCTAAGGACCCCGGACAGCTTCTTGTCCCCCGTAAGAAGGCTCGTAGAGGAGAATCGCGTGCGCGCGAGAGACGGAAAGCCGAAGAGCAAAGAGGCTGTAGAGAGGGCGGGAAGGAGGGAGGGAGGGAGAATGGTCACGGCCCGATCCCTAGCTAGATCGTCGTCTGGTCCCACGTGAGAGAACGTGTGTGTGTGTTGGTCGCCACAAGCCCGTCCACAACGTGTATGTATATGTGTGTGCGATGGCACGACGGGTAGGTAGGGAAATCGCGTGGGTGGGAAACTGGGTGTGGATGGTGTGTTCAATGAGAGAAGTGAAAACAAGAAAAGTGCAAAGAGGCAGCGGCTTAGACAGCTTATATCAATTTAGAGGCGAAGGGGAAGCAGGCAAATAATAATTAAATACACTCACATTTGATAATCACTGAGAGGCTAAGACTAACTCAATTAATTAAAAGGCAGGCGTGAGGAAAGAGGGATTATCGCTCCGAGGAAAAAGATCACCTCATTGGGGAAAGAGAGAGAGAGAGAGAGAGAGAGAGAGAGAGAGAGAGAGAGAGAGAGAGAGAGAGCGCCTGTTACGCGGGTCCATCCTCTCTCGAAGCGCGATCTCGACAACCTTTATTACGCGAGGATCTTTCTGGGACGTTGCAATTGTTTCTTTCTCTTTTCCGCACGTGTTTTGTTTCTTCTCTCTCCCTCATCGAATTCGCATGCGAATCGATCGCGACCGGGTCGGTTATTGTTGCCGTGATCGTTGTCGTCATCGCTTCGCCGAAATGGACCTGCTGCAGGCGGGGGTGGCTCTCGGTCGGTCGGTTCGTATGGTTTTTTTTTCTTTTTTCTTCAGAGTCGCGATCTTGTATGTCAGTCTGTACAATAACGGTGTAACGGTTTTATCTCCTAGTCGATGTTTGCGTGAGAAGCGCAAAAAGGGGTGTGAGAACTGGAGATTATTATTGTCCGTCGATCTTTCGGCGCGATTCGTCGTTCTCACATTTTTTTCTCGCAATCTTCTTTTCCGCGTTTCTTATCTTTTTTATTTTTATTTTTTAATCTGCATATACCAAAGGATGAATTTTTATATGTATACACACACATATATATATATATACATATATATAGTAGATTATGTCAATTAAAACTGTAATGTTCTCAGCTGAGCTTACACTCTCAGCTCGACTCTTACGGTTCATGTTAATTCACGTTTGTACAAAGTTAGTCGATTTTTCCTCTCATTGTAGACTTTCGATATTCCTAGGAATAGGGAGAAAGAGTGAGAGAGAGGGGGGGGGAGAAAGAGAGAGAGAGAGAGAGAGAAAGAAAGAAAGAAGAAAGGGAAAGAGAGAGAGAGAGAGAGAAAGAGAAAAAAAGAGAGAAAAAGAGAGAATTATTGCGATTTTCATTCGTTTTCCGTTTGCATCGGCGCGATCGTTCTTTCGTCTCTCGCGACAAAAAGTCGGCGAGCATCCTCTAATCTTCGCAAACGTTATCACATCCTTTTCTGGCGATCCAGGGCAGTTACAGAGAGCAGCGTGTCGCGACGCGCGCGCGGTTCCAGCACGTGGACGGTCCTCGGCCGGTCCTCTCGTGTACGCTCCGGGATCCCTCGGCGACGTCTCTGAAGGCTCGTGATCAGATTGAATCGCTGTTAACGATGAGGACGAGAGGAGGGTTGATGAAGGAAGATCCAGCGACTGATCTTGAGGCTCGTTGTTCAAATTTTTAATGGTGTTTAACGGCTGGGGGGCGGGAGGGAGGGAAATTCGCTCACGTTCGTTGCCTTCGATTATTGTTGAACTTTTTAGAGTTAAGGTTGTTAAAAAGCGTTTCCACGTTGCCAATCGTAGAGTGGGCGGGAAGGGGGGACAAGAGGTGATGAATGAGTTGGGAGGAGGGGGTGCTGTTGCGCGGCTTTTCGAGGGTACAAAATAAAAAAAAAGAAAATGGAAAATATACAACGTACAAGTCCCCGTATATTCGTACAAAATTAGTGTTCAAATTGTAAAAAGTGTTCATAGTAAAAGGGAGACGTCGTGCCGCGAGGGATCGATCTTTCCGCGTGAGGACGACCGTGATCCGCGCACACGTGCTGCGCGTATCGTTGTATAGTCGACTTTGGGAATTTCAAATTTCATTTCCTGCGATCCTCGGAATTTATTTATTCAGATTTCCCACGCAAGGAAATGAGCGAGCGGAGGTTAAAGAAAATTCTATTTATCCGAACCAGATAGATAAGTTCCGGGGATCCGAAAACAGCCGGCGATCGGAATTGTGTGCCCCGATTACGCCGGAGATTTTTGTTAATATTTGTTAAATTGTATATATACATATATATTTATATATACAGCGGAAAGTTTTATAGTGTCGTTGTAACCTCTAAATTTTATATATATAGTCGGGGGTTTTTTTTATATTTCCAAATTTTATAGTGTGCGCACGCGCGTTGATAATTTATTGTATTGTAACATTCTATAACGACGTGTTGATGCCACTTCCATCGTGTGTGTGTACGCGTAATCGACGCAGAAATCAACTCGAACGTACCTTTGCGTATCTGCAACTGCCTTTTACCCGCTAATCTCGAGGAGAGCGCAAGAACAATTTGCGCTCTCCTGCGACCGTAACTTTCTCACGCTTTCATCGCGGGTGCGATGGTCTCGTCAGTTAGCTTAGAACATGTCGGCTCGACCTGTTTTTAGTGGATGGGTTTTAAAGATTAGGCGTATATATTAGAGGGGAAATTGAGGAGAGGACGAGCGAGAGGGAGTCGTGGAAAAAAAAGATTACAATATAGAGAGTATATATTATAAATATATAAATATATATATTATATATTTATGCGTGACTCTTGCAAGAAGGTGTCGTGTCGAAGTTTTTCTCATCTCGTTTTTTCGTTTGTCCCTTTGCACGAGGGACCACCAGTCAATATATATCAATTATTCTTGTAAGTTTATCGCGTGACTCTTACAAAGAGAAACCGATCATCGCGAAGGAAACAGTTAGAAAGACAAAGAGAGGGACAGAGAGAGAGAGAAATAGAGAAAGAAAGAAAGAAAAGGAGAGACAGGGAACGGATGTTTAATTTACGAGGCTTAAAAAGCAGACTGTACTATCGGAATATATATATATTATATATATATATATATATATAGATTTTAATATATATATTAAAGTAAAAAAGTATATATATATACATACACATCTATATATATATATTAAAGAAAAGAATCATAGTTTATTATCGCAATTAAATTACCCACGGATGTACACGTATACAGAGAGCGAGCGAGAGAGAGAGAGAGAGAGAGAGAGAGAAAGAAAGAGAGAGAAAGAGAAAGAGAGATACACACATATATAAAAAAAATGGTACATATTATATATATATACCTATTATTGCGATTATCATTATTATTATATTATTATTATTATTATATATTATATATATATAAACAGAAGTTATATCGATTATATTTTAGCGCTAGTTGATAATACCTATTATATATAACATCGTTGCAGTTTCGAGACGATGCGTCAGAAAACGAGGGCAAAAAAAACAAAGTAAAATGAAAAGTAATAAGTTAGGAGAGGAGGATCGACGATCGTTGAGGATCGATAGACTCACACACTCACACGTACACACAAACACGAACGTACAGAAAGAGAGTAAACTCTGTCGATCGCTCGAGCTCCGGAATTTTTGTAAATTGTAATTAAATGCGAACGCGTTGAATTAACGTGTGCTCTTCGTGAGGGATTCGATGTTTTAACGCGCAAGCAGTCCCCGGTTCGGTGCCTTTTTAAACGACATAAAATAACAACAATGTTGAAAAAAAAAGAGAGAAAGAGGGAGATGTAACGGCGCGAGAGAAGACCAAAAGAAAGAAAGACAGACAGAGAAAGGGAGACGGAGGAGAGGGATAGAGAGGGAGAGAGAGAGAGAGAGAGAGAGAGAGAGAGAGAGAGAGAGAGAGAGAGAGAGAGAGAGAGAGAGAGAGAGAGAGAGAGAGACAAAGATTAATAGAGCAAGAGAGGCGGACGAAAGGAAGAAGATAAGTAAATAAAATAATAATAAATTTTGTTATCGCGCGCGCGCGTCCCTTTCCCTTCGTCGAAGGGACGGATAGACGATCGCATTCTCAGTGCCAAATATAAGGAGGAGAGACTTGCCCTCCGAGAGGGTGAAATAATGAAGAAAAAAAAAGAAAAAAGAAACTTGAGAAGAATTGAGAGAAAGAGGAGGAAAGCAGGGGGAAGGGTGAGATTGTGAAAGGAAGAGAGAGAGAGAGAGAGAGAGAGAGAGAGAGAGAGAGAGAGAGAGAGAGAGGGAGGGCGAAAATTTTATAGGCAATTTTTCTAGAGCTGACGAGTCTTTTCTGACGCTGGGTAGACTTAGTATATTTTATATGCACTGATTGTTCGACTATGACTATCGATAATAAAAAGAACGGTGTTCAATAGATTGTAAATCCAGAGGGTCCTTAAGTGTCTCGCCGATCACCGAATCACTCATATACACGGTGTTCCAAGAGAACGGTGCGTCGCTGCGGTGACCGTTCAACTCGGGAGTCCTGCGACCCTCCGGACAACCGTTGTGCAGTCGCAGGACTCTCGGAGGGCTTTCGAATTTCCGAGTTCCCGGGAGGGAGGAATTCGCCCTCGCGCGGGCAAGTCGAACTCGCCAGTTTTCTCTGTCGACCTCTCGCGGAACATCTTGTATATCTTGAATTGGCTTCTCGAGATCCGCGAGAACGGCGGGATTTCGGTCGTCGAGGAGGTAAGGACTGGAAGAGGGGGAGGGTAGTTTGGGGGAAGCGAAAGTAGCAACGAGCGAGCGCCCTCGCGCATCTCGAGCAAGTCGATCGCATCCAACGTACAAGTAATTAACGCATTAAGATATCGAGGTGGTGACGATGATTGAAAGGGAGCGAATGAGAGTGAGAGTGAAAGTGAGAAAAATTGAAGCACGAAAATGTGTTTTGCCGTCAAACGCGACAACTCGACGGGACAAGTGCGACAAGTATACGTCCGGGGAGAGAAGAAGAGATGGAAAGAAAGATCGCGGAGTACGTTCTCCGCACGTTTTCGTCCGTTTCGCGAGAAACGGACGGCCGACGAATGATTCTCCCCGCGACGATCGTGCCGACAATTTCGCATTTTTCTCTAATCCCGTTTCGACTCGAGAGAAAGGTAACTACCAATGCCACTAACACTCCGTAGTGATCGTGTGTAGTAGTTAATCGTTGTTCTGTTTATTTTTTTTTCCTTTTTCTCTTTTTTTTAGCTCCATCTTTATTACGTTATTGTTGCGTTATAGTAGTTGCGCATGTGGAACCGCCGGTCTCGCCGATTTAGCGGAGGAAAACGGAAGAAACAAGGAGCAACAACGCGCTTCGTATTCTCTCGGACCGCGGGTGTCCTTCTTCATCTTCTTCTGTACGTCGATCCCTCGGCGGAAGATGTAACCGGTCATGTTGGATCGCGTTTAATCGCGTCGACAACATAACCGAGACGAAGGAACTTTTCAACAGTAGACGCAGCGATACATTTTCGCGTCTCTCTCGCGGTCCGGGAAGAAATAGTCTTCAATCACTAACGCGACGATCAAGTGCCATAAACGAACACGGCAGCCCGCAACTGTCACGACGTTCATCTCACTCGGCGAGACCCGAGCGCGGCTTTCACGTGCGGCCACCCGTCATTGGTGTCACACCCCACAAACACGATAGCCTGTATCTCGATTTGTATCGTATATCTGTATATTTTATTTGTACGTTCCCGACATTGTGTGTCGGATACCGAGAAAGAGAGAGAGAGAGAGAGAGAGGAAGAGCGAGAGACCCCGCACTCGTCACGAAGCACACCGTTACTCTTAGCCAAAAATTACTTTTATTTAGTTTCGTTTCAGCGCGCACACACAATCTCGTCTCGTCGGCCGCCGTCGCCGTCGTCGAAATCACGAACGGCGACCTGTGCGACCGGATTCTCCTTCGGCAAATTCATTTTCCTCCCGCGGGACGTCGTCGATTTTCGTCGTGCATTGCGAACGTCGACACTCAGAGAAGACGAGTCGCCATCAGGAGTTGATTCGCTATGTATCGTCGAGAGTCCGGACTGAGTCTCACGGGTCGAAAGCGTCATCTCTTCTGTGCAAGGGGGGTGGGGGTTGAGGGGTTTCTCTTGTTTATCATCCTGAACGAAGGATTATGTCGGTGAAAAGTCGCAGCCGCCGAGGAGACGATCCTTTAGACGTTAAGTTTCCCTCGCCGCGGTTCGCTCTCGACTAGCCATCGACTCGATCCTGGCGTTCCTCGGGGCGAGGATCCTCCTCGCGAGATCCTCCTTTCTCGTCCCGGAGAATTCAGGATCGTCGTCTGAGACGAGCCCATCGCGACGCGGGCCCAGCGATTATTATTATTTTTTACGGATCTTTGTTTTGCATGTTGCGCATTGTTGTTTTATTTTCTTTTTCTCCTCGAGGGAGAGCAAAAGAAATTGTGGAGAATAAGAAAACGATAAATATATATATTATGTATATGTGCATATGGTTTTTTTTCCGTTGCATTTACATCGCCGCAGAATTTTTCGTATGTGTTCCTCCTTTCTTCTTCGTCTCGTTTCGACTGCCGAATTTTCGTTTTTCTTTTTAATTCGATAGCGAATCTTGTAGATATGTATTTAGTACGATGTTGTACTACACACACGCACACACACACGCGCACACACACACACACGCACACACACACACACACATATATATATACACGCATGTAATTTACGAGAGAGCGATATCACGATATCACGAGACACAATTTAGCACGCCGGTTGACTCGTCGACCGAGTCGAATTCCCCTTTACGTTTCACACCGATCGTTTTGCATCCCTCAGTTCTTTTGCGCCTCACGTGTAAGCCACAGCGACATCTCTTTATCGCATTTTATATTTGCGTTGTAGCGTGTGTCGCACGGTTCTTCCGTATAATTTCATCTTGAGCCGTAATCATTCGAACGTAGTTTTAATTTTAGTTTCAGATCGATTACATGTGTCCGCTTTTACAAGCAAGTAGCGAAGTATTTAGGTCATCACTTTGCATGCGTCAACTTTTCTGGTTTTTTTTTTGTTCCTTTTGTTTAAATATAAAAATGCAGAGACCGTACGAGCCACGGACGAAGGAATTTGCACGCGCCCGCGTCAAAGGTGCAAAATCACCGTCGCGTGGCCCTCCGCTCTTTTACAGCTTGCGCGATCGTCGAGTCTCGTCCTACTTTATCAGTTTCTTCTTCGCAACAATCATTCGGATATACGAGCGCAGAGCCCACGCGAATAGCGACGAACGTGAACGACATCATCGTCACGGGTGTAAAGCCGCTGCGCCGCGCAGTCTCTGCATTCCTACATTTTTTAGATTCCGATTACTGAGCCTCGTTTTATTTATCGTTCTGATTATTTTGTTTAATTTGATAAAAGCGCAGAGGCCAACCGAGGACGAAGGAATACTATCGTCAGAGACACAAAATTACACCGTCGGCACCGCCTCTGCGCTTTTATATTTTTTACACTTGGCTGCACGGAGAAAAATATTCTACTGCTAAGGAAAGCGACTCGTTTTCCTCCTCTTAAGCAATGGATTTCTTCTCAACAAGAAATTTCCCTGACCATAGTCCTCAAGTACTCACATTGCAAATTTAAAAAGCTCTCGTTATCGTGTATTAAAAAAAAAAAAAGAAAAAAGAATAAGTCTCTTTCGAAGAACACCGCGAAACTTGTAGATTTGACGAAACAACAGAAGCAAATTTGATTGACTTGTAGATTTGGGAAAACATTTTCTCGTCCGAAGGCAATATATATTTTCCTGCGTGTAGCCTCCTTGTACCTTACTGTGCTCCTTGCAATGAAGCACCAATCAAGCGCTTAATCGCGAGAACAACTCACTAACGAGAATATTTCCGCAGAGTTCACGGCGAGCAAGAGCAATGAGAGCAGCGAGACCTGGAAGGACAAGACTCGCGGGGTCGGGCTGA